TTAATAATTTTATCGTTCGAGTCTCGCATATAGAGACTGTGAGAGACTGGAGAGAGACCGAAAATTTTTGTCTAGGGAATATAAACTATACAAATTTCAAAACATAAATTTCTTTAGTTTGTTACATAAAAATATCTTTTTGAGTAGTGTTTGTGCATGAAAATGAAACTGAAACTTCAAGTAAATTTTTTTAAAACATTTTGTTCACTAATATGGAAAATAAATAAAATAAATATTTTTCCAATCGTTATAACAAACTCTTTTGAACGATATAGGTATAGAATTTGAAAAGGATCAGCATTTCTACGTGAGGTAGTTGTGGTTCCTTTCTAATAAAATCGGTTGTGACAACCACACAGACAGACACGTGAGAGTTACATGTTTGCTTTCGATGATTCAGGACCCTATAAAAGTAAAAATTATACAATAAATTATCTACCTACCATGGCTATAATGCTAAAGAAATAAGTACCTAGTGCTGAATTAACTAATTTGATTTATAAACACCTATGGGGTCAAAGGGTGGTTTATCCCTTTTGTTTCACATTAGAAAAATTTTAAGTAAGAATCTGTACTTCTCATCGTTAATTTCCTTATAATGTTAAAAAAAAGTTTTCCACAATTTTTCTCGACTGAGTGTTAATGTTTTCATCATCATAAGGTCGTCAGTTCTAAGACTGGTTGGACATGTACCTCCACTCTTTCCTATCCTGAGCTAAACTTCGCATTTCCTTTTTCGCGACACGACCCTGCGCTATCCTCTGCTTTGTATCCCTACTACTCCTTCCATCCTGACTTATCTGATTAATGTTTTGTAAATATTTAATTTAGTTTTATGAATTCATGGTTTACACCTCTTAGCGTTACCAAGAGGATGTTGATATTTGTACACCCCCTACTTAAAGGGAACCGATTTAATGGATGTTAATATGTGTGTGTGTGTGTGTTTTTGTCGGTTCCTTATATACATATATCAGTTCTTAAGGCATTATTGCAATTTTCTTTCTAGTTTGGTCCTTTAAAATTCAATGCAAGGAGCAATTCAAATTGCTTTCTTTTCGTTATTCAGTGTATTTTTTTGGCATAGTCTCCTTTGTGTTTGCAGTATATTATCACGAGCTGCCTTTGAAGTTATATAGTCTATTCAAATCACGAATTTCAAAGCCCGAATGTACTTTTTTTTATGAACGAATCGTTATTGTTATCGTACGAATCACGTAAATGGAAAGAATTGATTCAGTTTGTTTTAAATCTGATTATAGTCATTAGAGCAGAACAGGATGCGTATTAGGGACAGTCCGTGGTCCCTCCGCGTGGGGTGGATAAAGCTGGAGACTTTATCGGGAACGTGGGGGCTGCATTTGTGCTACGTTCGTCAAATTGTCACGATATGGTTATTAATGTACAGTAGTTTCGATCAAAGCCGACGTTTTGTTCTTTTCTTCGCCACCCCTAATGGATTCGCTTGAAAGCCATCCATACCCTCATTCACAATGTTTTATGACTTCACTTTCTGCTTTTAAGCTGTATTACGTAAACTCTTTCAAAAACTAAACGGTTCTGAAATATACAGAGAGAAATATCGTATTTCCTTTGTTAATTGTATGAAATTAATGTAATAGTATGAAAACAAATAAAAGTAAAACAATAATACTGATATGCAAGATAATAAAAAGTAAGGAAAGAATGAATATAAAGATAGGAGACGAAAAATTAGACGAAGTGGCTGATTTTAGGTATCTAGGAAGCCAGATAAGTTAGGATGGAAAGAGCATTAGAGGTATAAAACGGAGAATATTGCAGGATTGAGTCGTCCTTAACAGGAAGAAGTCACTTCTACGCCCGCGAACGGTTAACTTAGAAATTTCAAAGTTATTTTTGAGAAAAGTTTAGAATGTGGTGTTACATGCGAATGATGAAGATACCGTGGATAGAGAAGGTTAAAAAAGGGGAAGTACCTATAAGAAAGAATAGGAGAAAAGAAGACTCTATGGAAGTCAATAAGATATAGGCGAGATAGGTTGGTAGAACAACTTCCCAGGCATGAAGGTCTGTGAGAGACATATTAGAGGTAGAAACAGGAGTTAAGATGAGTAGAGGTAGAGTTAGATTAGATTACTGTTCACAAATATTTAAGGATGTGGGATGTTGTAGCTTTAGGAAGATGGGAAGGTAAGCTTAGGATAGGAAAAACATGATTTGCGCGTCCAACCAGTTTTACGACTGATGAACTTGTGATGATGATTATTGTTAATGACTTCGACACATTCTAATTAAAAATTAAGAAATAATTTAAATTTTCACTTTCTAGTTATGGAGGATTTGAAAATAGTTACAGAAAAAGCAGGAATTTATCTGAGATTTTTAACATTACCTGTATTACAGTTACAGTTCAATTGTTTTTGGAAAACAAAACAAATTAAATCAAAATTTAAAAAAATAGCAAGTTACATAACACAGTATGTTAATGATTCAGCGACGTTTTCTTGGACTTTCTCCGTGAAACGTACATATACTTATTGACAGATAAAGATCTTTATTTTGTATTTCTACGACGTTACTCTTCCTAAAATTGAGAAGTGTCTGAACCCTCCCGCCCACTTTCTTTGCCATTACCTAACGACTTGCAAGAGAGAAATAATAACAGCAGTGCATTATAAAAGAAAATTGAAAAACACTTTGTGGGGTTATTACTTCTAAAGCTAATACGTTTACTATTAAAACATTATCCATTAAAATATCGATAGCTATTTTCATGAGATAACTAAATAAGCAAATGCATCTGGTGAAATAATTCTACTTGCTCCTTCTTTTTTTTTCAGGGATACAAAGTATGAAGAGTTTGGTTTACAAAAACAATCGGACAGTGTGGACAAACCCGCAGACGATCTAAGTAGCCCTGAAAGTATACCGGAGCCAGAACGTCCTCCCCTTCGACACATAGACAAATATATCAGACCAGAATGTCCATGTCTCACCAAAAGAGTTACTGTTGCACTTTTAGCTTGTCTTGGATTTATGATAATGTTTGGAATGAGGACGAATATGGGCTTGGTTAAAGCCGGAGAGGTAAGAAATATGTTTTTAGTATTGGAAATACTGTTGGGGTCGTGTAAATACGTGGGATCGATTACAAGAAAAATAAAATTTATCTGATGATCGATGGGGATCAGCGGTCGAAGGTTGCTAGGGTCTTACAAGATTAGGAGTAGATAAATACAAATAAACACATAAACGATAAATAGTCGATAATTGAATAATGTCGACGCTTTACGTCTAACGCTGTGGAGTCGTTTACGTTTTGTTACTTCGTTAGTTCAATTAATAGAAATTCCTAATAAGAGACATTACCTACCATTATGACGTACCTTGGTACTACTGAGCATGAGTGCCAAAATGGAGGCCTTCAAAATGTAAACCCCGAATCGCTTTACTCTACACTTTAACGACCCGCTTTTCACTATAAATGTATCTGGCATTTATTGAACGAACAATTTAGAGATTTTCAGAATCGATTAAATTCTTCTAAAAACTCGAAATTTATGCAAAAAGCTATTTACTAATGAATAGTTACAATACGGTTCATTATTCTGCTTATAAACTTAAATTGACTTGCCTTGAACCTACATAAATGTCGAAACTCAATGGTTTCGCCCTCTACTCTCTTAGACGGAAAATTTTTTAAATTAAAGTATTTAGCAGACGTTTACACTGTTACGATTTAAAACATACAGTTAATCATAAGTATTAAAGTCAACACAAACAATTTGTTATAGATACAGCATCAATTAAATCAGCATTATTTAGTTTAGTAACTACCTTTTATCATTAATAATAATAATAAATATTAAAAGTATTGTATTGTTTGTACAAAGAAGTGAAACAGCAGCGCCTAACGTCACAACCGACAGTCTTCGGTAATTATCAGGACAATAATTTTTTATAAACAATGATATTCCTTATTATCTTCATTTTTAAATTTGATCTACTTTGGCGGCTATATTTAAAAGAAATTCAGAAGTTAATAATATTGGTATTCAAAATTGCCCCATTATAACTAAAATTTTAAAGTAACATGAGGTTCCTCAAATTAATATTTTAATCCATGGCGCATCTTTAGGGTTTTTTAAATCAATCAATCAATTCTTATTTCTCACTTCTTTTTCTATTTTTAAATTCGAAAATGTTGAAAATAAAAGCCTTTGAATATAAGGCATATCTAGTAGTTTGAGAATTAAAAAAAGAAAACGTACATCCAATCTTACTATATTTGAATTGTTAAACAAATGAGTAAAGATCGATATCTTTAACAATGCGTGCAGATTGTAATTAATGTGAAAAGGGTTAGAGCTTAAAGAAAACAAAAAATTTCTGAATCGAACGAAAGGTTTTTCGAATAAGAGAAGCATAGTAGTAAAAGCGGCCCCGAGCAGTCTAGAATTGAAGGCGCCCTTTTAAGCGTGGAGTTCATCCGTTTCCGGAAGAGGGCGAATGACAAAAGGACTGCAGACGACAATCCGTCAAACTAACGCCAATCGTTATCAGTCAATATGCACCAAATTACGTCACCATTTCGTGTGACTGATTTTCTATGGAAACGTTGATTTTGTGACCAATTTTATTTACGAAACACACCTACTTCAAGTTTTTCTTAAGCCATTTTAAACCCCTTTCTGTCCTGGTTTAGTTCGATCATAAATCCTGCTTCTGACTTATTTTTGAAAACTTCAACACATACTATATCAATACTAATTACATTTATACATTCGCTATTGGCACTGAGACAAAATTTCCTTCATCAGCGCCATGTTTTTTAGGCTCCTCCCATTTGACGAATGAAATGAAGAAAACGCTTTATCCTTTGGTTTTGGCTAAGGAGATTTTAGACTAATTTATTTTCCAAACTTAATTACTATTTCTTACTGTCAATCGCTTGTTGTAAAACTGTTAATTTCTACAATTGTTTTCACGTCAGTTATTTTCAGTATAGAAAAATTGATTATAAATTTCCCGTTTAATTTTTTTTTGAGCATTGGGAGCATAGATAGTAAACTACAAGGATCACAGTCCTATTCTAAATTTCGTGTCGAAAAGCGTCCGGGTAGAAGGCGGGTTTAGTGTTCACATGACGATACCATATGGGCAGTATCGTAAGTGATGGACGAAATATGATGACCTTTTAAGTAATCGAATCTTGCATCCTTGAGGACTATAGATGTCATCCGTACCTAAAGTTCGTCCTCACTGCTAACGCAAAACAGTATTTTTTCACGTAGTTACAGCGAGGATAGTCAAATGTGGCTTCCTGGTGGTCTAGTATTTATAGTTGGGAGTTATATGTATTACTTCTGGCTGATATATTATGATCAGAATTACACACCCCACCATTTTTTACAGAAAAATATAACATCGAAATGGTCACCTGCAGAAACATCAGCTTTAGATTCTTCCATATTTTGGGGCTATTTTATTACCCAAATTCCTGGAGGATTTCTTGCGACAAAATACCCAGCAAATAAGCTCTTTGGAATGGCAATCGTCAGTTCCTCTATAATTCATTTGTTTCTTCCAGGAGCAATGTCATTCAGTACAACTCATGTTGCGCTAATGCTTAGAGTTATGCAGGGACTTGTTGAGGTAAGCTAAATGTGATAATTATTGCATCAAAATAAATATAAAAGAGAACGCAATAAAGATAGACCCAGATCAGCATTTTAACCCAGGAGCGGAAGTGGGATCAATGCTGGGCGAAACTCAACGGCGGGATATGAGACAGAGCAAACTAACGCGGTATATACCGCGCTCCGAAACGCGCCTTGGCGGCGACATGTTTTGGATTCATTGCTTTTTCGCGCTTACCGCGTTAGTCCCGTCTAGTTTATTAATGGATTTATCATCTTTGCATGCCAGAATGTCCGACACTGGAAATTAACCGAAAAAAAATAGAAAATTATTTATGATCTGTTGCTCCCAGAATATGAAAATATAAGAAAAAGGAAATAAGATTGACACCAAGAAAATTGGTATCATCCTCGTCTAACGAATATTCGTCCATTTTGAATATAGTTAATTATCTTATATTAAATATCTCTGTAATACTCGTTTTCCCGCCACGTTGGTGCAGGATAACAAAATTACTCTTGCTGCTCATTTTCAAGTTACCACTTCCGCGTTCCCATCCCTGTTACCGTTTCCGTGTTTCCGCTTTGATTTGAGTATACCTTAAGGATGTTTGGGAGGTACAATCGGAGACAAAAGTACATAAAATTAGAAATTCGTGATTAATTAGGTTATGCAGCATGAGGTAAATAATTAGTTTCTATACTAAAAAAAGTATCCGGTTTGAGAGATAATTTGGAATTTGACCAAGAAATAATGAATAATATGGAAAATTTTTAACTGACCTTGATTTCAACTTCGAAACAAAAAAATATTTGGTTTCAATCTTTATTAATAATGAGCGTAAAACTTTTTAATATGTTTAAATTATAATTGAAACTTTAAAATTGCATTTATTTCAGACAATTATAAATATTATCATTATATTATTAAGTAAAAACGAGATTTTCAGCTAATTTTTCATGTTTTCCTCGATAACCATTTAGTGAATTTGAATAACCTTCCGCTAAAGTGATTCTCCAGAGTTCAAGTTACTTATTATAAAAGTTTGAAATTTCTGGTAGCTTTTTTTCTGTGAATAAAAATAAATTAAATCTGTTCGGTTAACGAATTTCCATAAAATGACATGTAAAATTACAATTTTTTAAAATTTCAATAACTTTTTAACGGTTTAGTAAATCCATTTGTAATTTTTACAGGAGTTTTAGAATTGAATGAGGAACGTTCTTCCAAATTTTTATTTGTCTCGTAGCATTTTGACATACCTCCCAATCATCCTTAAATAAAAAGCAACAATCGCAATCATCTAACGCATTTTGAAATCAAGTTAATAATATATATTAAACAATATTCCTTTTATCTTCTTCCTTTTCAATCTTCTTTAGAATGTTTTTCTTGTACGTCAACAGGGTGTTACATATCCAGCATGTCATGGTATATGGAGGTATTGGGCCCCTCCTCTTGAACGATCTCGTTTAGCAACTTTGGCATTCTGCGGAACTTACGCTGGCGTAATGTTTGCGATGCCTTTATCTGGTGAATTAATTAAAAGATTAGGATGGCAATCTCCATTTTATTTCTACGGTTGTTTGGGTATGATATGGTATTTGAATTGGCTCTGGCTTGTGTTCGAACGACCATGCAAACATCCGACCATTGAAGCTAGGGAACTACTGTATATAGAGAATTCGTTAGGAAATGCAGCTGACTCACATACAATACCTTCAATCTACAATACCCCATGGAAAGCGTTTTTCACATCATTACCGGTTTATGCCATTTTCGTTGCCAACTTTTGTAGATCATACAATTTCTACCTTTTGGTTTTGTTTCAACCGAAATACATGAAGGAGGTGTTTGACATGGATTTGGAAGAGGTAAATAATGTCCATATTTATTAGTGGAAGTACATTTCAATGATTATTAAGAAAAGGAATGTATAAAATAAAATAATTCGAAGTGGTCTGTATTCTGTCGAAATTGCCAGACGCGGATCGCGATTTCGACAGAATACAGACCACTTCGAATTATTTTATTCGATTAAGCTAACGTGTCTATCACGTTGAGGTTGGCTACGCCGGGATTCGTTTTCAGCAAGTAGATATCCACACAAGTGGACCTTGTTGGAGCATACGTAATCCTAAAATGTAGCATCGTACTATAGATGGCGTTTACTGCGCCGTTTGTAGTATTTTCTAAAACGCAAAAGGAATGTATATTTGTTTTTAATAATTTTGTAATGTTTGTATTTACATTAAAGTTTTATCAAAAACAGCAATCCTTACGTAGGGTACAAACCATTCGCGTAAATGTTTGCTTCATGAAACTCGTTCGAGGAGTTGGACATGAGTTTCCAATATCATCTAAAATTTAAAACAGAACACTTTCGTCCTTTCTTTCTACCCTTTGTTTCTAGTGGGCTATCAGCCTTCTTATAAATGTAACCCCTTGTTATCCAAGCATGTTACCGAAAAGTTTGTCCAAATTCTAAGTGAGTTAAAATCTCATGACCAGCTCTCTGACTATCATATATAAAGCACCTGCCTGATGAAAAATTTCTTATTTTCAGAATGCATTTCTTGGAGCTCTTCCCCATCTTTTGATGACGATAATTGTGCCCACAGGTGGTATATTGGCAGATCATTTAAGAAAAAAGGAAATACTCACCACAACGCAAGTGAGAAAGCTTTTCAATTGTGGAGGCTTTTTCATGGAAGCGACGTTCTTTCTCGTAGTTGCTTATGCCAAAACGGCATCTGCTGCCGTTATCGCCTTAAGTATGGGAGTGGCCTTTAGCGGTTTTGCCATTTCAGGGTTCAACGTCAATCATTTAGATATCGCTCCCAAGTACGCCAGTATTCTGATGGGACTCTCCAACGGGATAGGAACACTCGCAGGATCTGTGTGTCCGTACATTGTTACAACGATCAAGGAAAATACCGGTCCAGGAGTAAGTAGGACGATTTCATATAGGTCATCATCATAAGGTCGTCCACCCTAAGACTGACTGGTTGGACNGTTAATAAAAATAAATTTAATCTGTTCGGTTAACGAATCTCCATAAAATGACGTGTAAAATTACAATTTTTTAAAATTTCAATAACTTTTTAACGGTTTAGTAAATCCATTTGTAATTTTTACAGGAGTTTTAGAATTGAATGAGGAACGTTCTTCCAAATTTTTATTTGTCTCGTAGCATTTTGACATACCTCCCAATCATCCTTAAATAAAAAGCAACAATCGCAATCATCTAACGCATTTTGAAATCAAGTTAATAATATATATTAAACAATATTCCTTTTATCTTCTTCCTTTTCAATCTTCTTTAGAATGTTTTTCTTGTACGTCAACAGGGTGTTACATATCCAGCATGTCATGGTATATGGAGGTATTGGGCCCCTCCTCTTGAACGATCTCGTTTAGCAACTTTGGCATTCTGCGGAACTTACGCTGGCGTAATGTTTGCGATGCCTTTATCTGGTGAATTAATTAAAAGATTAGGATGGCAATCTCCATTTTATTTCTACGGTTGTTTGGGTATGATATGGTATTTGAATTGGCTCTGGCTTGTGTTCGAACGACCATGCAAACATCCGACCATTGAAGCTAGGGAACTACTGTATATAGAGAATTCGTTAGGAAATGCAGCTGACTCACATACAATACCTTCAATCTACAATACCCCATGGAAAGCGTTTTTCACATCATTACCGGTTTATGCCATTTTCGTTGCCAACTTTTGTAGATCATACAATTTCTACCTTTTGGTTTTGTTTCAACCGAAATACATGAAGGAGGTGTTTGACATGGATTTGGAAGAGGTAAATAATGTCCATATTTATTAGTGGAAGTACATTTCAATGATTATTAAGAAAAGGAATGTATAAAATAAAATAATTCGAAGTGGTCTGTATTCTGTCGAAATTGCCAGACGCGGATCGCGATTTCGACAGAATACAGACCACTTCGAATTATTTTATTCGATTAAGCTAACGTGTCTATCACGTTGAGGTTGGCTACGCCGGGATTCGTTTTCAGCAAGTAGATATCCACACAAGTGGACCTTGTTGGAGCATACGTAATCCTAAAATGTAGCATCGTACTATAGATGGCGTTTACTGCGCCGTTTGTAGTATTTTCTAAAACGCAAAAGGAATGTATATTTGTTTTTAATAATTTTGTAATGTTTGTATTTACATTAAAGTTTTATCAAAAACAGCAATCCTTACGTAGGGTACAAACCATTCGCGTAAATGTTTGCTTCATGAAACTCGTTCGAGGAGTTGGACATGAGTTTCCAATATCATCTAAAATTTAAAACAGAACACTTTCGTCCTTTCTTTCTACCCTTTGTTTCTAGTGGGCTATCAGCCTTCTTATAAATGTAACCCCTTGTTATCCAAGCATGTTACCGAAAAGTTTGTCCAAATTCTAAGTGAGTTAAAATCTCATGACCAGCTCTCTGACTATCATATATAAAGCACCTGCCTGATGAAAAATTTCTTATTTTCAGAATGCATTTCTTGGAGCTCTTCCCCATCTTTTGATGACGATAATTGTGCCCACAGGTGGTATATTGGCAGATCATTTAAGAAAAAAGGAAATACTCACCACAACGCAAGTGAGAAAGCTTTTCAATTGTGGAGGCTTTTTCATGGAAGCGACGTTCTTTCTCGTAGTTGCTTATGCCAAAACGGCATCTGCTGCCGTTATCGCCTTAAGTATGGGAGTGGCCTTTAGCGGTTTTGCCATTTCAGGGTTCAACGTCAATCATTTAGATATCGCTCCCAAGTACGCCAGTATTCTGATGGGACTCTCCAACGGGATAGGAACACTCGCAGGATCTGTGTGTCCGTACATTGTTACAACGATCAAGGAAAATACCGGTCCAGGAGTAAGTAGGACGATTTCATATAGGTCATCATCATAAGGTCGTCCACCCTAAGACTGACTGGTTGGACACGCACCTCCACTCTTTCCTATCCTGAGCTAATCTTCGCATTTCCCTAAAACTAGAACAACCCACATCCTTAACTATTTGCGAATAGTAATCTAATCTAGGCCTACCTCTACCCCTCCTAACTTCCCTTTCTGCCTCTAATATGCCTCTGATTAGACCTTCATGCCTGAGAAGGTGTCCTACCAACCCATCTCGGCTATTCTTTATTGACTTCCATAGAGTCCTCTATTCTCCTACTCTTTTCAATATCGCCTCATTTCTAACCTTCTCTATCCACGGTAACCTCATCATTCGCCTGTAACACCACATTTCGAACGCTTCTAACCTTTTCTTTTCCGTCGCGCCCACTGTCCATGTTTCGCACCTGTATAACGCCGTGCTCCAAACATATACCTTTAACAACCTTTTTCGAATTTCTACATTAACCATTCGCGAGCATAGAGGCGAGTTCTTTTTATTGAAGTGGACTCGACCCTGCGCTATATCCCTACTACTCCTTCCGTCCTGACTTCTCTGACTTCCTAAATACCTAAAATCGGCCAGTTCTTGTAATTTTTCGTCTCCTATCTTTATATTCGCCCTTTCCCTATTTACTTTTATTTATTTTCATACAGTACTGTTTCGTCAATACCGCTTCCATTTTATTTAAAGCTATATCTAACTCCTCCTTGCTAGATGCTAATACCAATCATTTAGGTATAATCGATAAAGTCTAGGTCAAAATTTATTAAAATGGTTTGCATGTTTGTTTTTCTAAATTGACTGTCAGTCGAAATGAATTTAAAAATAGGATGGAAAGTGCAATGTTTGGGTTGGGAGAATTCAAGGAAGACTGAACAATTTTGTAATATCCGGTCCGGCTATCGCCACAAAGATGCATGTAGACAGTTCATTTTGGCGAATATGATCAGAATCAACCGTGTAGAACAACAAAAAGAGGGAGGCAGCGATGATGTATTGCAGGAGGGAAGACGCGTCGCCCGCGCAGCAGCATGGAAATGAATATCACGGGGTTCGGTGATTTGTTGCTACTAAACGCAGTCAGTCTAACTTTCTGGCGTTAATCAAGCACGAATCATGATGCTAAAGCTGCTACTGTCGTAAATTGGACTTATAAATTTCAACAGCTCCGTTAAACAAAATTATACCATAACGAAGTGCATTAAACTGGTACAAAAGTTTATGACCATTTACCATTTTTCTTCTTCCAAACATTAAAGAAATTTTAGTCCTCCACAAGACGCAAAAGGATTTAACAAAGAGCATTACCTCGGATAAAATGAATGTTCCCTTTTATGTTACCGATTATTTATGTTTCATCCAATACCTGTTAGCTTTCCATCCATTGCCAAATATAAATTTTTCTTCTAAGGGGTTCCATTTCTCTCTTTCTTCTTTCTTTAGTATTTCCACTAATTTTGTCATCTATTCGTTCCTCACGTTTTACTTTCCATTACATTGTATATTCACTATTGATTGTGGTTCTTCTATTGTCTTTCGTTATCTTGTTTCTTCGTTTGTATCCCTGATTCCCGACTAGAATTTATAGGGAGCATACCCCATGTAGCGTGCGGACCTGATGTGGCTAATGAAGGGCATGCCGATATTGGGATTTCCCTGTAGATTCCTCATGAAAATCCCACCAAAGGAAGTGGTGATACTAAAATGAAGATTGCCTTATGGGTTTTTCATACAGGTCTTAATGGGCAAACCTATCACATTTATAAACTTACAATTAGCTAAATCTACCTTATGGGGGCTTGATAAGACAAATCCGCTTGAAAATACCTTCGGTATTAATAATTTTTGCCCGCGGGGGCCACATGGGGCATTCCTGATGATGCGCAAATGCGGCAAAGGGGCAACCTCATGGGGCCCACAAGAGGTAATGTGGCTACCCATTTAGAGACCCTACCTGAACCCCCCTCAAAATTCTAGTCGGGGTTGTTTATCCAAAATTTTTAATATATTTAATTTTTAAAATTCGGGTAGCAGAATTCATAAACCATTTAGAAATTTCGTAAACAAAAAATTAAGTCGTTACAGATATTTGTAAAAAGAGATGCATTATACGTATTCCACTTATAAGACTGGATATCTCAGTTTCCGAAATAGAAATGTTTCTATTTCAGGCGTCTAAACAATGGAAAATTGTTTTCATCGTTGCTGCAATAGTTCACTACATCGGGATAACATTTTATGGTTTCTTTGCCTCGGGAGAGCTACAGCCATGGGCAGATTTAGATAAAGATAAAAATTGGAATCCGTATGATGCGGCATTTAAAGGAGAAATTAAAACATCGTCCAGTGTAAGTAAATTGTTAATATTACGCTTTTAGAATCTACATAATTGTTGCATACGTATTGAAAGAAATACCTTTAGAGTATTAATTATTTATTACTTTTACATAGATGCAAAGTAATGGACTTCTTCAACGTCAGTTAAGTGGTAAAAACATTAACTACGGATCAGTTGATCCCATGTCACCCCCTCCTCCACCCTATAGTCCCCCAATAGTACAGTCAGGCAATCCGTTTACCGGTAATGTACCCAACACTAATCCTTTCCGGCAAGAAGCTGTTCAACCCGAACCATCTGACACTTACATGCACGGTGGTGTTGATGACAGAACGTATTAAGCACTGTAAATTTCAGTAAATAATTACTTATAGCATTCGGTGATAAATACTGTACTTGTTGTCTTTCATATACTTACATTAGTGAAAATTGAGATTTTCGCTTATTAATTTTACATATATAACGAGTACCCAATTCTTGATTAAACAAGACATCTCATCAGTATTGATTGAACAAATAAATAACGTAATTTTGGGTCAATTATTAGTCTCAAATTGAGGTGTGAAATAAATAAACAATTTATTGTTTATGGTTTACCTGAATTTGAGACTTTGTTAAACATGTTTAACTTAATGGTTACAGATTATAAAAAGTGACGCAAAGTTGTAAGAGGTATTAGGTATATGAGAGATCTGCTAGAAACACTTTTAAAACATCGTGTTTGTCAAAAAAAAAAATAATAAAAAGCAATACTATCATTAAAAAAAGTATGCATTTCTAAATACCAACTTGAATTTGGTATTTTTTTTTATTAATGCAAAGAAGTAATTGCTACTTCTACTTCATATGTTTGCAAAAATCATGAAAGTCCACTGCGTATTATCTTAAATTGGAAAAATGAAAAATCTAACAGGTTGTCTCATAGATAGTCCATATTTCAATGAGTCTTGAATATGACAAAACGTTTATTTCTTACTTAAATTAAGGTCAACAGACTTTCAATTTTGAGTAGAAAAAGAACGAATTTGGAAGAATTTCCACTCTACCATTAAAAAATATGTACATACATAAGTACATAAGTATATTATAAATATATTTTTATGTAGATTAGTTCTGGGTGGCCCGACTTTAGCAAGTGCACTAAAATTGATAAGAAAAACGTTTAATGAACACGTTTTCTGCACAAAAAAAATGAACAATAAAATTTAGCACTGATAACTTTGAACAAAATATTTTTCAACAATTATTATAATCGTAGTTGTTAATCTACGTGAAACCGAATGTGATGGAGTACAATAATTGAAATGAACCAATTGGACCTAATAAAACACCATTACACTTGCACTTGTTACTATTCTGTTACTTATTGAACAGACACTCGTAGTTGTAAACACAACTTTGATAAAAAAAAACTAATTCTAGTGAGTGTGCACATTAAACTAAACAAAAGTCAGCTTTTTCTTGCAAGAGCCATTCAAAACGCACTCATTTACGAAATTGCAAAATTTTCTTACACCTTCATATGTTTTATAGCGGATTTGTATAAACACTATTACAGTTTAAAATTAGTAAGGTTTTTGATAAGAGTATTAAGGCGTTTTCTTCTAAAAGGAAATTTAAACATTAAATTATAATTTTAAACTACCTTCTGCATTTTTGAGGTTTTTCGTTTTAACAATTGACTTAAAACATAACAAATAAGCTGATACTAATCACTATACCGAAAGCACAATGCATATAATTTGATTATGCTATCATTTCAATTGTAGCATTTAGAAAACAAAACTCATAGAAAAGTTGTAGTTTACTGATGAAGAAATGTAACTGCAATTGTTAAAGTTGCACTGAAGAAATATTTATTTAGTTAGAAAAATGTCAATTTCAACGTATTTTTGAAACTTTTGCAGTAATGTTCATATTTATATTATTTAATATAATGATGACGTATTATAACTATACGATAGTAACTGTACATTCTTATTAAAAGTATGTATTAGGTGTATTATAGAATAATAATCAGTTATAATATATCTGTATAATATGTAAATATGCGATTGCAGTGTGAATTAATCAGAAAAAAATAGAGAAAAAATCTAATGACGTACAAGACGGTTTACAACTGTATAATCCAGAAATTCCAATGATTTTTTTTGTATATATAAAATACACATACCAGTAGATAAAACTATTTCTGATGATTTCGTACATATATACATAGAATAATCAATTTTTGCTATATGTATTCCCTAAAGCAGCAAAACACGAAAAAGATGAACTCTTAAAAAAAATCGGCTAGTTTTGTTTTGTTTTCTTTTACAAATACCTACTTACTTCTAATATGTAAACAAAAAGAAATCAATTTAATCAAGAAATAGTGTTTAACATGATAATGTACTAATCCAATTTATTAATAATTCAGTTTTAATGGTTTGACGAATCATGATTTGAAAATTAATTGGAGCATAATAAATACTATCGATGACTTAAAAATACGATATACTTGTTAGTAGATATCTAATTGTTCGTATATTTGTAAAGAATTTTAACAGTTACTCCACAAAGAATGTTTAACTTTTCATGTGAATCGTATAAATTTATTGCTGTAGTTAATCGTATGTGATTATTACCTAAAAAGAATACAAAGATGTGAATAAAATCAATGGAAATAAAATGTTTTCATCTTATGGTTTAGAGTCGTTTTAAAAACTTTTGCATCTTTGGATTTTAAATGGTTATTAATAGACATATTGGTGATAAAGTAAGTAAATAACTTATTGGTATATGACGTGCCATTTTCAATGGCGATAAGGTGTTTTTTTTCCAATGCTATCAATTTGGTCGTCATTTTTTCTACTGTGTAAGTAGAAGATAATGTTCTCTGCAATTTACAAATGGTAGAGTAGTAGAAAACATTCGTTAAAAAATGTAACTATTAGTTTATACAAAGTTTTATTACGATGTTATAATACTGGATTGTCTATCTTCTGTAGATACTTGTAATTATAAAATAATTAATTACTGTATTACCTATAGCATTGTTTTTAAGCAGTTACGTACTCTTGTTGTGCTTTATTTTTTTGTCGAAAATCATTTTTCGGTATGTTTTGGTCGAGTTAAAAAAAAAAAAAAGAATTTTTTTGACGATGCCTGGAAAAAATACTCACTATGATATACCGTGGGGTGTTACCACTCTTAAGGCTGTGCTGACAATAATAATTGGCGAATTATCTACGTCGTCATACTTGCTAAAAATAATCGAGATGACTAATAGCATAGGTTTAGTTACGGAATAGGCTTAGCTAGGGACAATAGCGTCCAAAATGTAGGAAATGATAAACGTGTGAGTTGATGTACACGTGATTGCAATTTAATAATTGTTTGTGTTTTATTAGATAAGTAAAATATCTACCTAAAATACTGTGTGAACTTAAAGTCAGTGGAAAAACATTTTATTTATCGATTAATTGATGAAAACAAAACCTATGGATAAGACTAAATAATTGCAGCTACCTTTGATCCACAGAGATACATATATAAAAAATAATTATATTAACAAGTCCCATTAATGACAGATTTTGTCCATACAATTCGTTATTAAATTTATGCTTCTTTCCTATAAATACCATAAATATGATTATAAAAATGAAATATTTAAAAAACAAGTACTTTTGGCGTTTGTTGTATCAGGCTTCAAAATTTTAAGTTATTTATGATTTATGTATGGGCAGACGGTTTCGAATATGAAACTGGTACATATTTTTAGGAATTTATAAACATATAAATCAGTTCCGTATCCTAAACCACCTGTGTACAAAGAATAATTAACTTCTAATTCTCTTATGAAATAACAAAAGTGTGAAAATATTACCCATTAATAAAATTGGCTTCTGATAGATACAAAAAGTATATTAGCATTTCTAAGTTTCCCACTTATTCTTATAATGTTTGAATAAGTTGGTAAATTAAATACCTCAAAAGAAAATTCACTATGGTCATGATAGGTCAACCCCCAGTAAAATTTTCACGCCTAAACCGTAGGAATACTATTTCTCATTGTTCTTCAAGTACAAACATTATAATGGCGTCTTCTAAGAGAATATAAATTTCCTTTAGGATCGTAAATTTGATTAATTTCTCAACAGATAAAATACTTAACTAATCTTTAAGTTAATCTAACTAACCATAAGTATAATTAGCTTTACAAACAAAACTATGGGTTGAGATCTTTGTAAATTCCAAAGTATAATTCTGAAATTCAAAATGACATGAAATATGATGTTAGTCTCCATTACAATATCCTACCGATTACTATCGGCTTCGTTTTCTATCTTCATGACCAATTTTTTGCTATGCACATCTGTGAGTAAGGTACTTTAGGTAAATATTATATTTTTAAAGACCACTGATAATAATAGTAAAGCTATATATTAGCATTGGTAGAGAAAACTGAAAGCAAATCCACAAAACACTTTCCAAAACATTCAAATTGGAAAGCGTTTTTCTTTTGGCAATTTATAGTCGATGTAATTATGCAGAACAGAACTTATTAACTATATGTTGTGTGTTTTATTAATGAATTTATTCAGCAAAACTTTTTCTATAGAACTATCTCTCTATTGGTCAATAAATTTAACTAATCATAAATAATCCTACATGGTATATGTTCGTACTTTGTTTGTAGACAATTATCGCGAGGAGTAGTACATGTTTTCGTTGTTTATCAGTGGAATTAGGTAGAGGTAGATTTTCAAATTTTTTCAAATGGATGTCATAAGTTTACAAGTAGAAATTTTTAACTAGAACTAATGAAATTTCAATAACAAATGTTGATTACGTGATCTAAGCTGTACTAAAATATATAACACATTATTCGTTGTAGCAGATAAATATTTTTCCTTATTACATTCCTAACGTAATTATTGTATGAAATGCATGATAACTGTTAAGCAGAAGTAGTGGATACAAATATAATTACTGCCATTTACTATTTTGAACCACCAACTCGTTCTTGTTTTGATATTATCACCATTTTGTCAGGGTTTCCCTTTTTTTGTATTGTAAAAATGCCCACAATAAGGTACATACGTGATTTGTTTCTAAAACATATCTTTGAAGGACTTCTTTATATTTTTTACAGCAATTTGCAATACATTTTTTAAGTCCTGTACTTAAGTAATTTCTTTCGTTTTTGTCCCAGATTTTCTTAAATTGCTATATATATATATTAATAATAAAGTGTTAAATTTGTAAATATGTAACATCCAAAATAAATTCTGCAGAAATACACCTTCTGTTTGTTTAAAAGTAATAATTATTTTTTTTTTATTTTAGACCTCATACCAAATTCCAAGGACTGAAATGAAAAATTGTCACGTTGAAACTTAATACGTAAAACTTTTATTTGTCAAATTGATTTCGATAATTTACTTGATAATTCATTTAAAAAAGGAAAGAGGGGTTCAGAACGTTGTACATTTTTAAATTGTTACCAAAATAATTTGGCTTTTGAGAAAATATTATGCAAATCTGTTTATTAGTCTTATATCTATTACATCATCAAATATTACGCTACAATATTCTACATACATGCATACATACAAATGTTAATACAACTTTGACTTAGAGTTCACTCAATTGGACCATAACTTTACTTTTGTCACTAAGTTACTAGTCTACGAACTTATTTTCGTTTTGTATTTTTGTATTTTTGTCAGCTATTTCTTAATTTGTCAACGGTAATGGATCTTCTTCGTCTTCTTGGATCGCCTTGTGCAAATGGGGGATCCGCATTAGTTTTTACATAATAAACGCCTCGAGCCCTGCAAAAGAAATAATAAACGGCTTTGTTAAAAGGAAGACACTTAATTGCCTTTTCACGAATTTTAAAAATTATGTGCTGATAAGTACATTAAAATTTTAATTTAAAAAATATTAGTTATCTACAGTAAGCGAACCCTTTTAATGTTAGTGACTTATCGTAACTTTGTTTATCTTGTGCCGAGGGACAAGAAACAATTGAATAGTTTTTTCTATTGTACTCCGTAATCTCATTAATCTCTATCTAAGTTTAGTTCTACGATTTCTACTGATCTTTTTTTTATTTTATTCTATTTTGCCAGTCACGTTATCCTTAAATTTCGTTAATTTAAATATTAATATATAAATATAACCAATTCCAACCAAGCATGGCAAATACCTGGTTTGTTACTTCGGCCCAAGCCTGTTTGGAACGCTTGGTCTACGACTGGACAGTCAATGCTAAACCAAGACTTAGTGAACAATATTAACCCAAAATTGGACAGCCAATATTGTGCCAAGACTTAGTGAACAATATTAACTCAAAATTAGGCAGTTAATATTATGTCAAGACCTGATGAACAAAATTAATTTAAGATCGGGCACTTACGTCGCTTCCCTATCTTCACCAATACTTCATTGCACAGTGTTGGATATAGTTTCGGAAACGTTTATATACCTAGCCCTGCCACTCGAAACTTGACCGAACTTTTATCAAACATTGATAAATTCCTTCTTGACTGCCCAGTATTGAACCAAACATGTCCAAACGTTAATAACCCTACCCTTGACATTTGAAGATTGCACGAACTTTGGATCTGCATTGTCCGAACTTTGAACCAGTATTGACAAGCTAACGCTTAGTTGTCCCAGTATTGGACCAAACTTGGCGATACGTTAATGTACCAGCCTTGGCATTTGAAGATTACCCGAACTTTGATCCAATATATATAAAATCATACTTGACTGCCCAGTATTGCACCAAATTTCGCTAAACATTAATAACCCTAGCCTTGACATTTGAAGATTACCCGAACTTTGATCCAGTATTGATAAACTCATACTTGACTGCCCAGTATTGGACCAAACTTAGCGAAATGTTAATGTACCTATTCTTGGCAAAATTGGCCTAACTTTGGATTAATATTGACAAACCCATTCTTAGCTTCCCACTACTGGTTCAGGTTTGGACCTGACGTGAAGTACAGTAGCTTTTACATGATTGTATTATAATGAATGTCACATGGTGTTCTTTGTTAATTTCAACATAGAATTTAATCAAGCAAAAGTGGATTACAATAATAATTAAATTAACTATCGATTTCACGAGGTTCGGATACAAGTCTCTTTTAATTACCTACGTGCAGCAGCAATTTAATGTGTCTAGTGACGAAACTTATACATATGAAAATACTTGTAGATACTGTAGAAGTTATAAATGAGAGCTATTCTATTTTGACACAAAACATTTTAGATCATTTTTTCGTACTAAATAGCAACTAATACGTACATTTAAATATGAAGTAGGCAATGTAACATTATTCGTAACATTCTTATGCTGCAAAATTTTTCTCCAGTTCCCTCCCAATTAGGTAATATCTCATTTATATACCCACTTATGAAAAGGAAAGTTTCGACAGCTGTATTTTGCTCTTGAGCTCTATTGTTCAAACTAAAGCATAAAGTTATACCGTAGGCAATAATTTTTTGTTTAAATAAGACAAATCTTTAGAAAACGAATTAGTTTTCTACGAAACACTTCCTTATTCGATATGCTACGTATGCTGTGTATTGGCAGTGAAAGTAAAGGTTTTCAGCATATGTGATACTTACTTAAAATTAAAAGTACTTATTAAAATTACGTTTCAGGTGCTAAAACTAACAAGCTTGCAAAGTAATGCGTATTTATTAACTAATTATTTTAATCGATACATGGGAAAGTGAAATGAGCCGACTATTTCTCATTCGTCGAAAATATTGCAATTAATCTATGCATCTAAATATATCACAGAGACGATTAAATCATGATTAAAATCTTGAAATTAATGTACAATTTAACGTCTAATAAAATTATATGCATCTTTATAAATTATATTATTGCCTCAATTGATAAAATGACCTAATATTGCTTTAAATGAAATAAAAAACAAAATTTTATTTAGTTTACGAAGCAACTGCTGTTATTCGGTTTTATTGTGTAATTTCGTAAGCTTCACAACCTGATGTCGCTGTGGACGCTTATAAAATGATAAAAGCTTTATATTTCGCAGTATTTACCTGCTAGATGGCGACTTGGTGTCAGGTAACTAAATAATTATTACATTGAGTTAATTGCAGTAATTATCTAGTCGGAAAACTTCGTGCGATGAACTATTAAAAACTGAAAGTGCAGTATACACACCGTTTAAAATGCCAATTATTTCTTAAATAAATAATAATCACTTATGTAATTGATATAAGTTTCGATTTTATTTTTTCGTAAAAATTGTAATAAGTCAATATGGTGTAATCAGACTTTCCCTAATGAATTAAATCTTCATTTCTCACTCAGTCAATTAAGTTCGATTATGACGTTTCTAACTGTAGTCATATATAGGGCGTTCCGTGAACACTTTAGGAAAATTATAAAATTCTTAGGCACAATTTCTATTTTAATATGTTAAGTATTCGGTAGTTAAAAATTCAGATTAGACCTTTTGGTTTGATTTTTTTTTGTTTTTTATTATCCTTGGCTGTTTTTTAGTCTCTCAGAGTCTTTCAGCGTCTCTGAGAGCGTCTCTAACAGTCTTTCGCAGTCTCTGTGTTATTACCTAGGTGTTTTTATAGATCTCTCCCAGTCTCTGTATGAGAGACACGAACGATAAAATTGTCAATTCAGAGATTTGAGTCTCTCACAGAGAGACTGAATGAATAAAACTGAAAAACTGAGAGATTCGAGTCTCTCGTAGAAAGACTGGGATCTCTGAAATATGTTGAACTTAGAAAATTTTAATCATGTCTATCGGGACACCACTTATTGAGAGATTCGAGTCTTTCGTTCAGAGATTCGAGTCTCTCTTTCTGAAACTAGATACGAAATGAGGATCTCTCTATGAGCGACTCGAGTCTCGCTAAACAGTTTTTTTGACAGTCTCTCGACAGTCTCTCTTAGCGACACCAGAGAGACTCGATGAGAGACAGAGACTCGAGTCTCGTTTTCAGAGACTCTGAGAGACTGAANACACCACTTATTGAGAGATTCGAGTCTCTCGTTCAGAGATTCGAGTCTCTCTTTCTGAAATTGGATACGAAATGAGGATCTCTCTATGAGCGACTCGAGTCTTGCTAAACAGTTTTTTTGACAGTCTCTCGACAGTCTCTCTTAGCGACACCAGAGAGACTCGATGAGAGACAGAGTCTCGAGTCTCGTTTTCAGAGACTCTGAGAGACTGAACATTTCTATCTCGGGTCATTGACAAATAAAAAGTTACTGCACCCTTTCAGAGTTGTAGTATTAAATTTAAGGTTTCATTTAAAACATAGATATAAAAGAGGGCCTAAAGACTCCAAAACAGCAAAATTACTTAATCATGAAGACAGAAAAATAACTTACTTATGAGAAACGTGTTCTCCCATTAGAACGTAATCTTCGTCTTTAGGGTCGCACCAGCCTACTAGAAAACTAAGTAGGCTCGGACATGGATATGCGAAAAAACCCCTTTTGGTAACGATTGACTCAATAAAATATGGCGTTACTTTGGTATGATCACATGCTAAAGTGTCTAAAAAAGCATTTATTCGTCATGAAAGTAATAAAGTAGAATTTTGGTAAAAACATACTTACTAAATAAAGTATCACTGGTACATCCAGGTTGGCTTGAGCCACCGTTTATGTAGAAGTCGGCGTGACCACTTGGTCCCCATTGTCCTAAAATACCAGCACCAGTGTGTAAAATATCGACGAAATGGGCGTCGGTTGTATCCACATCTCTTGACCTGTTATTGCCCATGTAAAAGAATATGGAGGGGTCAAGACCTAAAAAATCATCATCATAAGGTCGTCAGTCCTAAGACTGGTTGGACACGCACCTGCACTCTTTTCTATCCTGAGCTAATCTTCGCATTTCCCTAAAACTAGAACATCTCACATCCTTAACTATTTGCGAACAGTAATCTAATCTAGGTCTATCTCTACTCCTCTTAACTCCCGTTTCTGCCTCTAATATGTCTCTGACTACACCTTCATGCCTGAGAAGGTGTCCTACCAACTTATCTCGCCTATTTATTACTGACTTCCATAGAGTTCTCTGTTATCTTACTTTTTCTAATACCTCTTCATTTCTAATCTTCTCTATCCACGGTATCCTAATCATTCCCGTCTAACACCACATTTCGAACGCTTCTAACCTTTTCTTTTCCACCGCGCCCACCGTCCATGTTTCCAAACATACACCTTTAACAATCTTTTTCGAAGTTCTAAATTAATCTTTCGTGAACACAGAAGTGACTTATTTTTATTGAAGGCGACTCGACCTGTGCTATTCTCTGCTTTATCCTGACTTATCTGACTTCCTAGGTAAATAAAATCAGTCACTTCTTCTAATTTTTCGTCTCCTATCTTTATATTTCCTATTTTCTTTACGGTTCGATTATATTGTCCAATACAAACAATATCACAGCTTTTATCTTATAACCCTTGTAAGAATATCATTATACACTTTCATGTATGTATACAGATACCGCCGATTCATAATACAATTATACAGAACTATAATTAAAAACAAGTAAGTTTACCTGTAATCCGTCCCAATTTACCATGAGCAACAGGATCTAAATAATTGGCTACCAATCCTGCAATATGGGCTCCAACACTGTACCCTATCATGTGAATATCGTCAGCCTTTACACCTCTTGGATGTTGTGATAAGTAATGAACCAGTTGAGCAATGCATTTTGCACAAAATCTGGGAGCCCAGTCCATTTGTGACAGACACGGCTCTCTAACCAAAGATCCATAATCAACTATAATTATATTGTAAAATCCGTTTGCAAAATAAGCGTCTCTCATATCAGTACTAGGAGCCAAATTTCGTCCACCTCCAAACCCGTGTATCACAACTTTTGTGGGATAGGCTCTGTTGAACTGGGAATAGTAGAGAGATTCGGGGTGTAATGTGTTTAGCAGTTCTGGATTATTTTGAGTTCTCCTAAAAATTAATAATTTCCCAATATATAAATTTTTAAAATCTCCAAAGTAGGTGCAGTGAGAACCATTCAACATCCTCTCATTAATGTGGTGCTTTAGGAATTGTTTTCTTGTTACCAATGGTCTATATTTCGTGTAAACGGTGCAGATATATTTCTACCACCTCATATGTTTGGTTTCAACTAATATCACCACTCTATTTTACAGTAAGAGACATACAGTTTCACGCGTTTCATCTATTTATGATAATCCTAGTATAGAGTGAAAACTAAGGTTGATTTTCAACAACTGTATGACATTCAGAATTTAATATCATCGATTAATTGCTAATAAATTCAATTGCCCGAAACTGAAATTTAAAACTAAGAATGTGATGGCATAAATTAAAAAACATTCACAGACCTCGCATATTACGCAAGTATCTTATTAGGCATATTGAAAATACCAGACACAGTTGCTGGGATTGTTATACCTAGTTATGCAAAAAAGAAATCTTTGCTTTTCAATTTGAACTTAGGTATCATTAGCATTATAACTAGGAAAGGCCAAGCATCCGTAAAGTAATTTTTTTTCTCTTTTACTTAGAAATAACCAGATGATAACAGTAAAGAATTTTTTTTTCAACTGTGCTACTACCCCAAAATACCGAAGGAATGTAGTTCACTATAAGAAGAAACGTTTTCTTCAAAAAAAAAAAAGTTTTCGTAGATGTATGAATATGTTACATCCAAAATGATTAATCTTAATATTGTTTATACTATCCAGCAATTGTCTGTAACACTACAACTACCCAATTTATACAAAATGGTTATTGGGGTAGAATTAATTAAATAATCTAATTATTTTACAATATAGTAAGACTTGAGCGAAGCAATAACACAATAAATTGTTGTATTTTATAGTGCAGGGTACATAAAATTAAGGAGTCGCTAATTTAGTTGAACTTCGGAAGAAATTATTAAAAAAGGAGGATATTGTCTAGTAAAGTGGAAATAAAAAAGCCTGGAGCAACTGTAGCCTTGTTTAGTTGACTAAATCAGTTTATGATTACCCTTTTTTTATTTTTACAAGTATTGCTGGATAATATTCTTCATTCGAAGAAGGTGCGTGTCCAACCACTCTTACTACTGACGACTCTATGATGAAAATGAAAGAAATTTATTCATTTATTTAAATAATATATATAATGTCCAACCATTAGGTATATATAATTGCTATTTAATCGCATTGTCTGTAACATGTAACTTTTTTACGACCGTTTTCGTATAAGAACTTGATTTAGATTCCAAGGATTGACGAATGTCCTTTGACTGCAAACAGTTTTTCGCATTGTAATGCAATGAAAGCATGCTTGAGACTATTAAGGTCTTGATAATTATTTTAGAAAAAGATGTACGTGATGTATAGGAAATTTGATTTCACTAAGACGAAAGGAAATATATGTATATTACAGTAATTCGATTCCAAGTATCGTCCTCTCATCACGTCAAAACGATAAAAAGCACGAATAAGCGATTAAATTTTTGCGCAATTGCTGGTCGAGTGCTATCATTTAACAGTTGACTTACACCGCACCGGTGGCCAGCTTTCTCCTTAAACATGGTCATTAATTTGCTGCATGGGCAATACTCTATTGTTAATAAGTACCCTGTGTGTTGATGTGGTTGTAGTAATTGTAAAATAATAACGACCTACCTGGTGTACAAGTAAAATTCGATTTTTGGATGTGGACATCGATAAGGCTTCGGAATACAGGAACTGGTGTTAAAAAGCTCGCCGACTGATTCTGGTTTCTTTGGTTGTGTGCGTCTAGCGTTTGTAGCTTGAGCTGATATCCCTAGAAATATAGGATCCACTAAGTTGAATGAGGATTTTCAGTAGAAAAATCAAACACAAAAATTATATACAGTTTCAATGTCATTTCTTCTGTATGTCGAAAAAAGAAAAGAAGGTCGATTAGGTATTTGGGTGAAATTCATAATGCTTCAACCGTGTCAATAAAAAGAAGTACACGACTCACTTCGTTCATGTTGTCTTTAGATACCCCAAAAACTAGCCTAACCTAATTGAACTTAAAGATCCCGAGATAAAAATGTTCAGTCTCTCAGAGTCTCTGAAAACGAGACTCGAGTCTCTGTCTCTCATCGAGTCTCTCTGGTGTCGCTAAGAGAGACTGTCGAGAGACTGTCAAAAAAACTGTTTAGCGAGACTCGAGTCGCTCATAGAGAGATCCTCATTTCGTATCTAGTTTCAGAAAGAGAGACTCGAATCTCTGAACGAAAGACTCGAATCTCTCAATAAGTGGTGTCCCGATAGACATGATTAAAATTTTCTAAGTTCAACATATTTCAGAGATCCCAGTCTTTCTACGAGAGACTCGAATCTCTCAGTTTTTCAGTTTTATTAATTCAGTCTCTCTGTGAGAGACTCAAATCTCTGAATTAACAATTTCATCGTTCGAGTATCTCATACAGAGACTGGGAGAGATTCATAAAAACACCTAAGCAATAACTGAGAGACTGTGTAAAACTGTGAGAGACGCTCTCAGAGACGCTGAAAGACTCTGAGAGACTGGAGAGAGACTGAAAATTTTTGCCTAGGGGTGTCATTCGTTTGACTGTGATCATAACGTTACAGTAGGTGAGCAGAACCTAACGTGACCTTAGGTTGTAATAGTCATTTAGAGTTACAAGTTGAAAGTTGGAGTTGCAAGTCGAAATTTCTAGTTGCAAGTCGCAATTTCAGTAAAAACAAATATGTTTGGCCCTTCTACGTCTTCGTATATGTTAGTTAAAATTGAAAAGTTTTTTAATTTTGATATCTAAACGGTAGGAACTGTCAGTTTTCCGAATATGTATTTACATACATAAATTATTCTTTAATAATTATTTGTTGAATTGGACGGTATAATGGAACTGTTATATAATTATGTTAATTAACCCACTTACTCATGACCATTCTTAGTTGATAACATTACAAAATGGATAATAAAAATTCTCTGTAAAATATGTGTCAATCGCCATTTCCATAAAGAATTTCAAAGTTGTAAAAAGAAGGAGAATATAAGCTAAAGTAAAATAGTTATAAAGTATATCCACCATCATATAGAAAGAGAAAAACATTATATTAACTTATTCTCAAGTAAAAGTGGACGACTATCCTCTGTCAGTAGAAATTGCAAAACACATGACAAACTGATAGAGCATTAAAATAAAACAAGATTATTAGAACCCATCACTTCTACAACCAACGGTTTGGGCAATATTTGGGAGTGTCAATTCAAATTAATTTAGCAAGCCAGATAAAAACTACAGACTGGAAGTAAGTTATTCACTAATCATTAATAAATAATAAATAATAAAAGACAGGAAAAGAAAATCATAAATTATTTGTACTCTTACAGGTACCCTATTCAAATGAATTAAATATGCGATGCAATATGCAAACTAAACTAATCATAAAACCATTACGGTCAAATTAAATTTTTATTTAAATTTTAAACCGTTTTGTATGTTTTATTATTTGCATAATTTTAATTAGCTATTGCTGTATTTACATTTTTCGTTGAATATTATTTAGCTACACTAGAGTGTGGAAAGGTTTTTTTGTAAGCTTATACCTTAACTAATTTTATAATTATCCTTAAAGAAGCTCGCAATCAGAAGGCGAAACGTTGGGTAGAGATTGTAAATAAACACTTAATTTCGATCTGAATTACTTCTAGTTTATGTCGTACTCATCGTTAAGAAGAAAATGAACGTTAAATAATAATTTAGCTTTGCAGCGCATGAGGACTAAATAGTATGTAAATTACATGAGACAGCAATTATAATATGTATCTACATATATGTCTACCAATGTAGGTCCTTAACTTATTGCGAAATTCTGCAGATTTTCGGTACAATTATGTGTGATATTTTTCCGATCGTATTCTTCATAATATAAAGAGCTGCTATTATTAAACGTATGCCTGAAGCAGCGATCGATACGGCGGCATGTTTGAGCTAAGATCGTAGATCATATACAGCAAGACTCTCAAAGACTAATGAAAATCGTACGAGAAACTGCCCAAAAATATCAGGAATGCTCGATAACTACATAAACCTGCACCAGGTCAAAAGACACTCCATTAAAGACAGGTGACATAAAAATAATGTGCAAGTTATTACCAGATATAAAAACTTGCACAAACTCTAGCACGTAATTACAAATATCATAAAACAATGTTATCATCTTTATTCCCATTCCCGCAAATTAATTCTTAAACAATCAAGGTAAATGTATTAAATGAGCAAAGGTATTATGAAAGGTGCAATGCAATTCTTAATTGTTATTCTGCATACAAAGCAATGACAACAATCAGGAATCCATATTCATTTTGTTTGCATTGCATATAAAATAAATCGTTTGTAATCTGGTTTTTAATGGCGTACAGTTTCAGTAAAATAATTGATAAATAGGGTGAAGTTTTAAAAAATTAAAAATTTTCAGACACAAATAAAAATTGACTGATTTGTTTTAATGAAGTGTTGGTGTTTTATATTTGTAAATATGTTTTTATATTAACCTATACATCTACTAAGTAACGTAGAAATGCTTTTAATAACAGCAGAATTATTACTGTAAGAGAAAACTTACTGAATACATTGGTTTTAATCTAAATCAATATCCAATCGATGGTCTTTGCCATGGAGTCTAGTTAAACGTTCCTATAATTTCAATATTTATCATTTATTGATTGTGGTTACTCAGAAAACTCAACTTACTTAATACAATAAGCAAATACCGGTGCAGGTATGCAATTAATGCTTTTAATGCCGATTAAATCAACTGTGAAGTGAAAAACCACAAAAGTCAGAATGCACTTCAGTTCTTTCGTTGAATTATTACCAATGATGTCATATAAAACTATGTTTACAAATTACAATGAATGAAAGTGAAATTTACTATAAAAAGACTAACCTGATTTTTACGTAAAGGTCATTAGTTAATCTATTTACGGTAAAAGCTGCTAAATCTCATATTCTAATAAACTGTAGTTTGTAGTAATCCATATGGAATTGAAATAATAAAACAGAATCTACAGAATTTCTCAAAATAAACAAGAAAACACTTCTTGAGTACACATGTAGGCAATTTCAAAACGGGACATTCACAGGGGACGAAAGAGGGTACATTTTGTTTTTTAATTTTGCTGTGTGTAGAGGTGAGTCTCTTAGATATTATTTTATTCAAATACGTATATACCACAGTCCCCTTACTATTCGTTTTTTATTAATTAGAATGTCATGGCAACAGTGGGTGGAAAATAATTAATTTATTTATTGGAACAAACCAAGGCGTTTGCAGTATGTTTTGCAAGTATAGATGATAAATAAGAAAAACAAGGCCATGATCTGTGCACAAAGTACTTTTCATTACCGCAACTAGCTAATCTTTCTCTCAAACAAGAATATCAATTTGAAGTTACTTTTAGAGCTAGCTCTACTTTTGTTCGAAACAGCAAAATAGGTGCAGCAAGTGTAACTTTAAAGCGATGACTGACTACCAGTTTTATTTTTTCTTTTACTGAAATACCTTCTACTCTGCTTCTACGTTTGAATCTATTGCTAAAATAACTGGTTTTTTTATTTAATAAGGATTGTGATCATTAATGATACTTATACTTTCAAAAAGACACTCAATCTCATTATAAAATACAATGAGAATCATGTGATACGGGCATTGCTACAAAAGAAAGAATATAAAGATGCTACGTATGCTAATCGAAAGGGAAATTTTGAAAGTAAGCAATTGTACTCGCTTGGCTGGTTTAAAAGTATCACCGGTTATTGACATCTTCAGTTTAAATAGCCCAATATTATTATTATCATTACTATACTACTATTATCATTACTATTATTATTAAATGACTAAATACACTATTGTGTTATAATTAAGTAGAAAATTGTACATTTTTTTTAATTAAAGCTGAACCATACAAAAGCGAAAAATACAGCGTATCCAATATTATAAGTTCAAGTTTAGTTCAAAATCAGGTGAAATAATAAAATGGAACTTCACTTATAATATATTAAGTCAATTAGTCCACTACTTAATTCATTATTTTGTATGAACAACTTCTGCTTACATTCCCTTTAAACAAAATAAAACGATGAAGTAAATTTACTTGAATGAAACAAACTGAATTTAAATATCATGAGCTTTTCCTTTTTAATTATAGACAGTTCTCAATCCTTAGACAAATATCTTAACACATTTAATTGTAACAATAATATAATCGTAGATTACAGCAGCTATAAAAGGTGCTATTGCACTCTAGGTGCTTTTTGAGTGAGAAATCATAGTTCACCTTCGAGCAACAAAGCTCATACAGCATTAGTTTATGTATCTAATTGTATATTTTACATACTACCGAAGTATTATTTATACTTAGTTAAACTTAAGTCTATATCTTTCATACAAAAGTTTATTTCATTTTTGGAAATAGGATCGTTAATATTAGACTAAAAATTTTCGATGTTTTAATAATTATAGTTGTAAAAAACTTTTGAAATCGAAAAACGTATTAACAAATTTTGTAAATTATTCATTTTTCTAAAAGAAATAACGAGTTTTCGTGCATTTTTATAGCCGTCGAAGTACTGATTTTAATTTTTTTTTAAATTTGTGGACGTCATACCTAGCCTGACCGAACCCAACCTAATGTAACACGCGAGTGATGTAATTTCGTTTTCATTCCCGGAAAAGGTGAAGGATCCTTATGTATTTATGCAATATTAACTAACAATCAAGTAATCTTACCGGTGAGAAGAAATGCAAGAGAGAAAATGGTCAGACACAGAACACTTTCGCTGACGAATTTAAGGTCATGGGCAACGAGCATCATTCCCAGTTTCGCTTTTACACTAGAACACGGAATTCACGGCTACTCTGATTCAGAAACAGTGAAAGTTTATCGTCATAGCAACTTATGACCGTTTCGTCGGTGGACACATACTGCCAATATAAGCCGCATTTACTGTAGTAAATATTTCTACAGATGCCACCACTCTTTCACTCTCACTTACATTCAGGGATTTTTTAATTTAACTCCTTAACAAACTATTAACATTTAAGACAATTCTGGAACAACTCAAGGAAATAACAGCAGCCATTCATTTGCAAGAAGTATGGCAAAATAGAATTCCCTTTCATATCCTTTATATTAACGGTTCTCCACTTTTTTACTTTCTTAGATACATTTTTACTTCATATGTAATTTATATGTTTAGATAGGAACTATAAGAAAGTACTACTTCAGTACTATCTGGGTAATGTGAATTTTTCTACCCGTACAGCGCCGCACTCTAGACATACACTATTAAAAAACTTTTTCGAATTTCTAAATTAACCGTTCGCGAGCATAGTTATCTGACTTCCTAGGTATCGAAAATCAGCCAATCATATGGTTATTTGTGCATTTATTGCTTATGATTATTTAAAACCAAAGTGATTATCTCTGGAACCTTTTTAATCTTTTAATGTTCCGTGGCAGTTACCAAATAAATAACATGGACTCACCCACGATAGTCAAGTAAAATTCGCATTATCCTAAAAACTGGTCCTGAAGATAAAGAAAAACCAGTGGATGGTACTAGGAACAACCGCATAAGGGCGATTTCTTCAACCTATTCGGAAAACTATAAAATTTTTCAAAACCGACATTCATTAGTCCAATAGAGTGTGGACTGCCTTCAATCTTCCTAATTTTTTGCTCCTTTGGAAGCATTTAGTCTTCAACTTAAGGACATTTTTATACATGCAGTCAAAGGAATAGATAGGAAGTAGAATATCCTTGAGGCGAGGTCTAAAATCTGGTCCATACTTACTAAAATTGACTAACATGTGATGTTTTTATTGCTATTACTACATTTACCTAAATCTTAATTGGGCACTTTGAAAGCCAGACTTAACAAATCAGCTTGATAATTAAATTTTATGGGATGGTGGCTTGTGTAAAACATTTTGTAATGTCACTTGTTAATTAAGCAAAGCTCAAACGATATTTGTTTATAAAGAGGTTTGTTTTGGAAACATAAAAAATGTTGGTGAAATTAAGTAAACATACAACTGCATTACATAACCAGCCTTCAAAATTTTTGAATTTAGTAAATGAATAACACGTAAACTAGTTTAAATACCACCAAAGCGGCAATCTGCAGATTTTATAAGTTTTAGTAGTGTCATCATCATAAGCTCGTCAGTCCTAAGACTGGTTGGACACGTACCTCTACTCCTTCCTAACCTGACCTAATCTTCGCATTTCCCTAAAACTAGAACATCCCATATCATTAACTATTTGAGAAAACAGTAATCTAATCTAGGTCCACTTCAACCCCTTATTAACTCTTGTTTCTACTACTTATATGTCTCTGGCTGGACCTTCATGCTTGACAAGGTGTCCTACCAACCTATCTCGCTTATTTCTTATTGACTTCCTCTGTTCTCCTATTCGTTCTAGTACCTCTTCATTTCTAACCTAATCCATCCACGGTATCATCATCATTCGCCTGTAAAACCATATTTGGAACGCTTCTAACATTGTCTTTTGCGTCGCGCTTCAAAAATACACCTTTGACAATATTTTTCGAATATCTAAATTAACCGTTAGCGAGCATAGAAGTGACATTTTTTTATTGAAGGCGACTCGACCCTGCGTTATCCTTCGCTTTATATCCGTACTCCTACTTCCGTCCTGACTTATTTAACTTCCTAGATACTTAAAATAAGACACTTCTGATGATTTTTCGACTCCTATCTTTATATTCACCCTTCTCCTACTTTACCTTCCCTTTCATACAAGTGTTTTTGTTTTATCTTCATATACTTCTAAATTTTAAGGGTAGTAGCCGTTTAGTAAGTTTCGACGACATGTTCAGGATGTATGCCTATGCAACCAATTATAATCCACAAAGAAATTTGAGCTCGCCCGGTATTTTGCAATTGTTTATTTCCACCTGTAATACGTCAAAATTACTGTTTTTTAATTGAATATTATGATTTATTTAAAGTGCTTGATAAACTTTAAAGTAATATTTTAAAATGAATATAGATACATGTGTCTACCAGGAAGTAACCAAGAAGAGAAAACTGTTTTTCATTTGCATAACTATAGTAATCATTATGGAAATTTTAAACTTAGTTACCATGGTTATGGTTTTCCGTTAAGAAAAGTTTGGATGTTACATATTCTGGCAAGAATGAAATAAACAGTTAGCAAAAACTTTACATAACCGTAGCTGGAATAGGCTATTCTACAATAATTGCGAAACTGTGAGGAAGATGAAGGTGTTCTTAGCATAAAATAATAAATCTAGTTGGGTGTAAAAATAGATATCTCTGTTTAGGATACTTTGTCCGTCACAAAAGTAAACAGTAAGTATTTTTCCACTAACAGTAAATGAACAATAGTTAAAGTTATGCAAGTGTGTTTGTCAATAAAATATATATACATACATACGTACGTTTAAGTTGAAACTCGTTTATTCAAACAAATGTTACTTTCTATCCAAATATAAAGCTGAATGTACGGGTTTATCACTTCAAACACGGTCAAAATCATCAACTTTCTTAAACGAAATCTTCGTGAAATTTACTGGTACCATTTATTGTTTATATTGTTCATCTACTACTATTTGCTTGCATAGATAGAAAGGTTTTCATTTATCATTTTACGTATAAATTGCAGACTACATTTAGTAATAATTGTTGGATTTCCTCCATTAACTGGCTGAATTATGAACACAATAAATTACATTTATAACAAATTTCCTACTACTAATAAAAAGCTTAACTTATCAATACTTCTCTGTGTTGCATATCAGAATACATTCTTTTGACTATTTAACCATCATTACTGTTTTTGAATTCATATTTTTCTGATTTCTATATCATCATCATCATAAGGTCATCAACCCTATGACTGGTTGGAAACGCACCTCCACTTTTTCCTCTCATGAGCTAGTCTTCGCATTTCCCTAAAACTAGAACATCTCACATCCTTAACTATTTGCGAATAGTAATCTAATCTATCTACTTCTCTTAATTCCTGTTTCTACCTCTAATATGTCTCTGACTAGATTTTAATGCCTGAGAAGGTGTCCTAAACATACACCTTTGACAATCTTTTTCGATTTTCTACATTAACCGTTCGCTAACATAGAAGTGACTTCTTTTTATTGAAGGCGACACGACCGTGTGCTATCCTCTGCTTTATATCCCTACTACTCCTTCCGCTCTGACTTTATTTCTATATAATAGAATTATTTCCAAGTAAGTGTGCAAAATGAGATTTAAATCGTTAAGAAATAACCAATAACGCATCACAGTGATCACTGGTATTGGTCTGTGATAGTAGCTTATTTTTAAAATATATTTATAAAAGATTTGAAAAATCAATAATTTTTTTGATANTGGAAAAGTGAATTGACTAAACCGTTTAAATATATTAAAAGTTATATCAGAATGTATATGTATATCTCTATGTGCATTATGCATTTACATAGAGGCAATTCTGAGGTGACGAGAACCATGCACTCTGCACTGGATCTCCGAGTCATGAAATTGAAAAAAAATTATTCTTAATTTTGTCTTCTTTTTGACTGATTTTCAAAATTGTACGCGCGTAATTTCGCTCTTTAGAGTAGTTCAAGCCAATTTAAAGCTATATGATTAGAAAGGTAGCAGGGTCTTGTAAGATGACGAAAAAGTGTTATTTTTGCCAAATTGAAGATCATTCACAATTTGTGACCGTTTTCAGTTAATTATCAAACACAGAATTCCCATTTTTACATTGATTATAGATGGGATAGAAAGGGCGACAGGATGTCGTTAGATGACGTGTTTTGACGAAAAGATGTTCTTGCGAAATCGAAGGAAGTGATTAATAATTTTGGCTCCTTTTAACCAATTTTTAAAATTTGACGAGCGAAACTTCACTTTTTACAATAGTTCAACTAGAGGTGGATCTAATAAGGGGTTGTAAGCTATGCATTCTACAGTCTACATACATCGGGCTCCTGCCTCAGGGGGCCCCGTATTTTTCCCCATTTTCCAGCAATGTATTTCGCGTTACTTATAAATTTTAAAAATTGAAAATTACGCGCTACTTAAGAATTTTATAGTTTGTCCTTTTTTACTTATTTCATACAAAAAAATTATACAAAAATGTAATGATTTCGTACTTGACACGACACCTGTTTGGAACATGCTTTCTACCATCAGTAGTCTGTAGAATGGAAACCTACTCACAAAAATTCGATAACGTTGTTAGCAGATGACGAAATTATCAATTCCAATATACGCGGCCTTGTCCTACCAGAGAGAGAGCGCGCACGTTATCATTGTACTTTACATTGTAAATATATCTAGCCATTATGTAATATTGTGGTAATGTGGGTTGTGTGCAGGTCTTTACATTTATTAAGACAACAGCTTAGCAGAAATAATAATGTAAATAAAATTCATCGCAACAAGTGTGACATGGAACCTAATCACCTTACAGAGATTTTCCAAGCGGCAGTGGGAGCGGTAAATCCGATTTCAATGATTAGAGAAACAGTGAAAGTTTGTGGAAGTCATCTATGTGTCGCTGACAAAACTTTTCCACTTCACAAACCATGTTACGTAGTTGGCTTTGGGAAAGCCGTCCTTGGAATGGCAGTCGAATTGGAGAAAATATTAGGACCTCATTTGAAAACAGGGATCATCAACGTTCCTGTTGGAATCTTTGAAACGTTCCGAGAGAAACCAGAATTATTACCGGATTGTGATTCGAAGCTCCAGTTTATAGAGGGAGCCAAAGACAACTTACCAGATGAAAATGCTTTGAAAGGCGCTATAGCAATAAAAAACTTGGCGCAACAACTAAAGGAAGAGGACCTGTTGATTGTTCTCATATCGGGCGGAGGATCAGCGCTTTTGCCCCTGCCGAAGCAAACATTAAAATTGCACGAAAAGCTTCAAGTTATCAAAAATCTCACACGACGAGGCGCAGACATTAAGGGTACTTGATTTTATTATTTATTACTCACCAGCATTTTACGTAGTTTAATAATTACGTACGGAATGCGACTTTTTTACTCATGATACATATTAATAGACCCTCAAACGTTTTGTACTGCTTCTCTATAAATAACTCCAAATACCAATTATAAAAAAATAACAAATTATACAATACAATACCTCTACTTACAGTAGGCAGTGGGTAATTAGTAAATTGGTTCTCACGTTAAAATCAATATAATACGGTTTGTAATTTAGAAAACATTAAAATTCCGCATTGCAGCCAAGGCATTAAGCTCCGAACACAAACAACAGAAATGCATAAAATATATTACTTTCCCTGGCTAGCCCGTTAGACTACCATAAAGAAAACAAATTAATTTTCTTGATTTGGAACGTCTATCTTGAAATATTACTTCTTTGTTATTGTAGGCATTGTCTGCTTTTGTAATTCATGAATCTAAATCAGTTAGGCGTTAGGGGTATATTTGTCCGTTAGCTAGAAGCTGGAGACTTCTGGAGTGCAGACTTTAGAATAATACATACAGGATCGAAGGAGTATACTTAGATTTGCAGATGATATAGTAGTATTGACATCTAGCAAGAAGGAGTTAGAGGTAGTTCTAAATAACTTATTATTGTATTGACAAAACAGTATCGTTTGAAAATAAATAAAAGTAAAACAAAAATACTGGTATGCTAGGAAAGAATAGGTAGGGAAGAGCGAATATACAGACGAAAAATTAGAAGAAGTGGCTTATTTTAGGTATCTAGGAAGTCAGGTAAGTCAGGACAGAAGGAGTAGTTAGGGATATAAAGCAGAGGCTAGCGCAGGGTTGAGTCGCCTTCAATAAATAGAAGTCACTTCATGCTTGCGAACGGTTAATTTAGAAATTCGGAAAAGATTATTAAAGGTGTATGTTTGGAGGTAGGCGCGGCGGAAAAGAAAAGGTAAGAAGCGTTCGAAATGTGGTGTTACAGCCGAATGATAAGGGTAACGTGGATTGAGAAGGTTAGAAATGAAGAGGTATTAGAACGAACAGGTGAACAGAGGACTCTATGGAAATCAATAAAAATAGGCGAGATAGGTTGGTAGCACACCTTCTTAGGCATGAAGGTCTAGTCAGAGACATAGTAGAGGCATAAACAGGAGTTAAGAGGACTACAGATAGACCTAGATTAGGTTACTGTTTGCAAATAGTTAAGGATATGGAATGGGACGAGAGAGTGGAGGCGCGTGTCCAACCAGTCTTAGGACTGATGACCTTATGATGATGAATCTAATTCACTTTGGGAAAACTGGCTCACTGTTTTACTCGTGATGCGAAATGAACCAAATACTGGTCTACTTTATCAATTAGTAATAGAAACGAATAACATTTAATTCGCTGACGAAATTAATTATATGATATTCATTCAAATTATTCAAGAAATAACAGTTGCCTTTGCAATTTCTTAATTTTAATGTTAGGGATAATCCGATTGTCTGTTTGCTTTTCCCAAAGGTATTTATATTTGGAAGACAAAATTGAATTTCTAAACGTTAGCGAATTCTTTGAACTTTGAATGAAAACATTCATAAATACATTTCAGAATTAAATTGCGTCCGCAAGAAGCTGTCGGCTATAAAAGGCGGCGGGTTGGCCCGGATTGCTTATCCTGCCAAAGTAGTTAGCCTCATTCTATCGGACATTGTCGGAGATTCCTTGGATTCCATTGCCAGCGGACCAACGACCCCAGACTGGAATCCTTCCAACGCTGCCTGGGAAATAATAGAGAAATATTCGTTATCCAACACAGTTCCTGACGCTGTGAAAGATATTTTATTACAGTCCGACGATGCATTGGGACACGAAAACGGTTTATATGAGAATGGAAAGTTCGCACACGTTTACAACTTAATCGTCGGAAATAATCGAAAGGCAGCCTGTAGTGCTCTAAAAGCCGCGAAAAATCTAGGGTACGAGGCCGCTATTATTTCCACAAAAATTGAGGGTCTAGTTGATAATATAAGTAATCAGTACGCCCTTCTTGCTAAACATCTCGTTGATTTTATGCAACATCCGGAAAATTCATCTAAGAGAAACGAATTAAAACTTTTTTTGAAGTCGTTACAGAACGAATTAGGCGTCGAGGACTCTGCAATCGATGAAATTCTCAGTCTTAATTTTAAAACTCCTTTAGGAATTTGTATAATTGGTGCGGGTGAACCGACTGTAGTGGTAAAAAGTGATGGGGGTAAAGGCGGGAGAAATCAAGAACTGACACTTCGATTTTCTCTGGAGGTTAATAAGTTCAATTTAAAATCTGCGGAAATTTCATTTCTCAGCTGTGGTACGGATGGAATCGACGGGCCAACGGATGCAGCTGGAGCTTTTGGACGCGGCAATTTAGTTCAGGAAGCTACCGAGGGAAAAATTTGTCCGGTGGAATTTTTGTTGAGAAGTGACTCTTACACATTCTTTTCAAAATTTAACGACGGAATGAATCTTATCAAAATGGGACATACTGGTACAAATGTTATGGATATCCACGTTATGATTTTACATGTATATTAGACACTTTCTGAGATAAAAGTATTCGTTTCATAAGTTATCAGCTGTACTAGCAGTTTCACCTTTTCGAATAGCCCTTTCATATTAACGGCTCATGTTCATGTCTCCCATGAAGAACCGTTCTTTAGATATTAAAAAAAGAATTATTAAAATCGGATCAGTAGTTTCTTAGATTACTTTCTACATCCGAAACTACAAATATAAAAACTTTACTTTACCTATTCTACATTTCTTCCCCTTTGTTTGCATATAATTAGCAAACAATCTAAGCACTTAAGGGTTGGTTTCTTACAAACCCTACCTTTGTACAATATTAATAAAGATCGGAGATTCTTAATTCGATTGTTTTAATGTGTTTTTGTTAATTAGAGCAGTAAATTCGGCCGGAAAGGTTTCGTAGCCCTCAAAATAAACCGTAAATTCGGCCGGCTTGTGCTTAGGTAGAAACAGACAATAAAAGCAACATCTTAAGCGCCAAACGCCGATGATTAGAAGGTTTTTACATACTCTGTTATGATATGAGTATACATATAATAGATAACAACCCCTTGCGGTAGGACTTGTTGGTCTCTTAATTAGTTAATCTACTCCTGACAACGGAAAAATTAACATCAATCATTTAACTAAACTAACTTCACTTTACTATTGCACAAGTTTTTAAAATTTGTAAGCAATTATAGTGCATTTTATTAAAGTTTACTACAAGATAATTGCATTACTAAAAGAAGCTGCTACTTTCTTTGATTAAGTTTTGTTTTATTGTGGTTCAATATTTCTTTTATTTCGATACTTTAATACAAAACTTAAAGCAATGTATAGAAGGTAAATGTTCTCTCCAATAAACATACACAAGTAATTTTTCCGGTTGAATTTACATACAGTCAATTTTCGATACCTGTTGTTGAATAAATAATTGCAATAGTTCATCATTGTCTTTTATTAAATCGTAGTAAGACAGAAGCAAATAAATTCCTACCTTTATTTCCTAATAATGAAAAAAATTAATAATACGATGTATATTGTACAGGGCATTACTTCATTCAATCGAATGGTATAACTTGTTTGCCGCCGGACTAAGAATCTCAAGGTGATAAATGGAAGGTGGTTCAGTGATATTCAGTATGTATTACAACTTAGATCGTGACTTTGTGGCATTACGTGCTCATAAAGCAAAATATCTTTACCAAAATTCTCTATAGGAAAGTTTGGATGTAATGACTCCGTTTAAAATGACATATCGTTTATTATAACTGATACTCAAGAAATCAGATTCGGCTATAGTGACCCAAATGATTAATAATAACATTTTCGCTCATTTTTCTGATCCTTCTTATGTATATTGATATTACAATTAATCGTTCTTTTTCTTTTTCTGTTTTTCTCTCTATTAAACTAAATAACTAACCGAAATAGAAAGTTGTTTATTTTCTAAGACTATACTTTGTATGACGCCCGTTTAGTATGACGCGTTTGTCATTTCCCTTCGAAGTCGTTATAGGCGGATTCTACTGTATAAGCTCTTAGCCTGTCTACTCAGTTGGATAAAGGAATACCTTAGTGCGGCTTTTGTCTAACCTACGAATTGTCTTATATACTGTCATAATTACTTATAATATTAACTTTTAATCATAATAATGTGATTGCCGTTCGCTTTACTAATGCTTTTACCTTCAAGTACCTAAAGACTTTGGTTTTTAATCTTAAGAGATTGGTTTGTGTTCGCAGAATTTTCATTACTTCTACCGCACACGTGAAGTTCTAGACTGTTAAGTACACAATTAATTACAGGAGAGCAGTCAATCCTGATGGCACCAATTACGTAAAAGTTCGTTCTGGAAGTTGCAATTTTAGGTTTCGTAAATTGAATAAATTCCTGAATGACATTTGTGTCAATTCACAAAACCACTGTTCAGACAGTCGAGGTGACTTTACGGACTACAATCGAAATAAAATTGAGGGCTTGAAGCTTCAGTCTGGGGCATTAACGAAATTATCGGTTGCAATTTTCATTCTGCCAACGCGGTCTTCTTAATTGGCGTGGAAAATTGAGTATTTCACCAGCGTAGAAATCAAGAATTAATGCCGTGTCTTCAACGAAGAATGACGCATTTGCTTTCCATTTCCTGATATTCTTGAAAGCATCTACAGCCAATTTTGGTACAAATTAAAGGATATATCTGGGCATATTCCTTTATTTCTACTCATTCTTTTGAATAATTTACGTACAAAAGGGACTAAGTATGTATACCTTCTCGCTTTGAATTCTGAGCGAATAAAATTTTCCAACAGAATAACAAGTAATTCTATCTGACAATCGGAGCAAAATATAATTTCCACGTGACCCTAATTGATACTTGCATACTAATTACTCCTTGTAATATACAATATAAATTAATGTAAGATGTGTAGATAATTCTATTCTTGTGCCGTAAATTTTCTTGATTTAACTTAATAATAGATGAAATGTGTTGCCATGAAGATGTAAAATCTCTTTTAGTTTGATAGATGATGTACAAAAATTATAATAAAAATGCTTATTAATGCTCAATAATCAAAAGTAGATAATATTAATACAAACTAACACAGCAACTATGTATATGTAGCCGCAGTAGATACCTAACGTTTAATTTTTTCAAGGTTTTTACTTCAACCTGTACTTCTTTTATTAATGTATTATCTAAGAGTTAATTTTATGTTTTGCTTCGTTTTAATTTTGATACAAANGCTGGTAATAATTTTATATCCGTTCTCCTGTTTGGAATCAACCTACTCATGTAGAAACTACAGTATATCTGAAAAATATTATTATTTCTGAAAAATAGATTTTCTTATCATGGCAATGTTACCTTCGGTTATACCATCATTAAATACGTTTTTTATGGCTTTAGATGTAATGGAATCCTCTGTACATAAAAGGTTAAAGTATTTTTATTAACTAATAAATAGCGATAATCAACTTTTAGTGGAAGCAGTTGAGGTTTACGTAATTGTTAGTAATAATTCCATAATCAACATTATCCTTATTCGCATATATAGTATTGTAAACTACTAAAATCTAAGCGGAACTTTTCTTCTGGTTGAGCCATCACTCAAATCTGTGCGCACGTGTTTTTTTTCACAAAACAGCTGTTGATATAGCCATTTAAATGGAAAACCTTCACCCTGAAACTTTAGAAAGGATCCGCTAGAAAAGAAATGACCCATATATGTTCATAAGTTAGGCATTTTAAGTTGATATTTGGAACTACAAAAGTTTACCTAAGTTTCTAAATGTTGTAAAATGAAGTTAAAGGGATGTCGTTGTTCCAAAATTAGTAAAGTTTTCGATAGTCATCTTTGTAGTTCTGACATCAAAGTGAATACGTAATTACGCATTAGTGTTTAGTTTTAAAGCTTATGCTTGTGATGGCGTTTTCATTTACAATTTTCTCGGAATAAGTAAAATATTTTATCTATGTGCACCTTTTATCAAGAAAATTAACGCTTATTTAACATTTTTAAGTCCGTTATGAGGCCATTGCGGTGGTAGAAACGATGATGATTCAATATAGCCAGTTTAGAATCTTACATAAGTTGAATAAAGAAAAAGAAATAAATAAATGACTTCAAAAACCCCTGACAATATTAACAAAAATGTAAATATCTTCGAAAGCAATTAGTTTTTGCCGGTAGGAATGAATTCATCCTACCATTTATTATGTATGTGACAAGGAAATTCTTCATAAGTTACGAAAATGACTATAGTTTTGTTTATCTTTGTTTTATTGGTCGGCCATGTTTGTTCATCCATTGTTGCGATATTGTTGATGTTGTCGGCCATTATAATTTTTAATTGTTAGCATATTGTTGCTTTGGTCGGCCATCATGTTTTAATTGTTAGCGTATTGTTGATGTTGTCGGCCATTATAATTTTTAATTGTTAGCGTATTGTCGTCTCTTTTTATCAATGAATTGGTGTGTAGTGGTGCTTCTTTGAAAAAAAAATTTGAAAATACTTTGAAAGAACATGAAATTATTACGCTGGCGCTTAAAATTTAAGTTAACGAGAATTCTCGAATCAAGCCGAATCGATATCCACATGGCCTTTACGATTCTGCGCTACGAACTTCATGCAGCCAAACAAGACAAGTAAGTTCACGTTTATTTTACGTTTGTCTTCGTTGCTTGGTTCTCTAGTGAATCAGCTGATGGTGAACGTATAACGTGCCGCTACTTTTCGTGTTTATAAACGTTTAACGTGCTCAAAAACATGAACGATAAAATTAATTTGTGTCGACGATTTATTCTTTTATTGACATTCATCTTGTTTGGATCACAAAGCAATTCCCAACTCGTCATTAACGTAAAAAATCAGGTATGTGAGGTTATGGTGAACAAAACAGCAATGTTTTCTTTAATTATGAACATAAATTGGAATTCTCTTGTTTGTTTTATATTTAATAAAATGGGGTTGTCGATTATAGCTATAAAATTCTGATGCAGCAACATAAATCAAGTAAAATATGACTGCACATGTGTACTCATAAATTGCATGCTAATTAATGTTTACGAAATTAATTTGCATATGTAAATATACATATAGGTACCTAAAGATGTCTTGGGTTTTTATTAAAAAATTTTAAGTTAATTTATTGCGGGTTACTTAAAACAACAACAGGAACAGATGTTTGATAAACGTGTGGTTAATTTAAAAACAAGATAATAACAACAGTATAGTTAAAACTACCTGCTTAGGGATTAAATAATTGCATTTGTATTTCAAAATTGAAATTATGAATTTCATATTTAGATAAAACAGTTATTAGCAATAGTATTTCATAATTGTAAAAAGTTAGTTCATATCATGTTAAAAGGTACATTAATTTATTAAAATAGTACATTAAAAACAGTCTGTAAAAAATTTAGTTTGCCATTATTTTATTAAGTGGATTTCACCCTACATTTAAAGGAGGTAAGTTTTATTTAAAAGTGATAACCGGTCTTCTTGTATTATTCGTTAGCAAGAGGATGAATTTTTTTTTAAGATTTTAGCTCAATCAGGTAGGTACCAATATTTTGATTAGCTGGAGAACTTTTGCGGATAAATCTCAAGTCCGTATCTTTTTTAATACAAATATTATATTGTCTACATGCCTGCAACATCAGGGGGGGTTGTAAACCACTCAAAAAGTCGAGCCAGAGTCGCACTATAACTTTAGCTTCAGCTATACATCATTATTTTTATATCTCTCGTCTTGAGAGTTATGTTTACATCGTCACGGATTAAAGGTTGACGTGAAAACCTTATTACACTTCCACTCAGAGCGAAAACTGTCAGTGCAAAATTGCATACAAAACATACTTAAAATATTACAATATTTATGTCTTCTATGATGTTTTCTTTGCATTACGGAGGGAATAAACCATGAACTGTCTGTTTCGCCGAAGATATCCTTAATGTATGTATTAAAAGTAAACATTTTCCGTAAGAAAAAGATTTTCACAAATCGTTTATGGAAAACCTCAAATTACATTCTCGCTGCACTAATTGTAAGGAAAAATTACCTTACACAGCTTAAAAATATTAATTTTTTGAATTAAAAACACCAGGTTGTTATATAATAAACACTAGCAGTTTTAATCAAACGGAATCGGACTTACCAAATGAAGGTGCACCGACATTGCAGAAAGAATAAAGACTTAAAATAATGTTTTAACTTGGAATGAAGGGTACTTTTAAATTAAAATTTAATTTCGAAAGCAAAATGATTCAGTACTTTTAAAGTATGTTAGTAATTCCACAAATTTTGGAAAATTATTCATATGATACCATACATAAAGACACCTGTTTAATATATCTAATTGAGGATGACATTTTAATGTGTGTCGAAGCGCGTTTTGGATTTCTAAACGTCTTCTAAATACTTGTGTGAAGATTAAGTTTTTGAGTTGGTTCGTTTTTTCGTCCTCCGGTATCTTCCGCTTTTTCGAAAAATTGAATCATGAGCACGAAGGGTTCTTGAGAGCCCGTTATTCTGAAGCTGGTAATAATTTTATATCCGTTCTCCTGTTTGGAATCAACCTACTCATGTAGAAACTACAGTATATCTGAAAAATATTATTATTTCTGAAAAATAGATTTTCTTATCATGGCAATGTTACCTTCGGTTATACCATCATTAAATACGTTTTTTATGGCTTTAGATGTAATGGAATCCTCTGTACATAAAAGGTTAAAGTATTTTTATTAACTAATAAATAGCGATAATCAACTTTTAGTGGAAGCAGTTGAGGTTTACGTAATTGTTAGTAATAATTCCATAATCAACATTATCCTTATTCGCATATATAGTATTGTAAACTACTAAAATCTAAGCGGAACTTTTCTTCTGGTTGAGCCATCACTCTGTTGATGTTGTCGGCCATTATAATTTTTAATTGTTAGCATATTGTTGCTTTGGTCGGCCATCATGTTTTAATTGTTAGCGTATTGTTGATGTTNTCTGTACATAAAAGGTTAAAGTATTTTTATTAACTAATAAATAGCGATAATCAACTTTTAGTGGAAGCAGTTGAGGTTTACGTAATTGTTAGTAATAATTCCATAATCAACATTATCCTTATTCGCATATATAGTATTGTAAACTACTAAAATCTAAGCGGAACTTTTCTTCTGGTTGAGCCATCACTCAAATCTGTGCGCACGTGTTTTTTTTCACAAAACAGCTGTTGATATAGCCATTTAAATGGAAAACCTTCACCCTGAAACTTTAGAAAGGATCCGCTAGAAAAGAAATGATGATAACCCTAGAGAAATGAAAAAATTGCGTCTCGTGAACATGAAAAATCATTTCTAATAAAAAATATATTTGAGGGATGAATGCCTTGTTTGGAAACTTTTTGTCGACAAATTTATCCACGGAATACAAATTGCTGTTTATCGATGATCCATCTGCTCTCTGGAGAAAAAAAATATTTGAATATTTTTCCAGTTTTAAACTTAATTGTGCAAGTTACTTAATTCTGAAATTTCGCTATTTATTTTTGGTCAAGTAAGAAATAAAGGAAGTTTCCAAATGAGTGTGTGCCATTAAATACTTTTTTGGTTTTCCAACTTCTCTTTTATTTAAGTTGTTTTCTTACACCTTTGTGTATAATACAGACAAGTAAATATCTCTACGCACAAAACGACAACAAAACCCAAGGGACTAAAAGGGCTATCTTCCTGAAATGAACTAAAGCGGATCCAGAAAGTAGCCGGGAAACATTTTCACCGAAACTGTCTGTAAAGAGATATTTAGAAGTATTTATTTCGGATTTAGGATTGTTTTTAAGCGATCAATAAAGAGACGAACATCGCATTTAAATTTATAAAAAACTGGAATACCCGTAGATCGGCTTCTCCCGACTTATTGTAGGTATGTTGTACTTAGTGTAAGGTTATCAGAAAAAAATTAAACAAATATTGAAATACTGTTACATACACTTTATTTATGAAAATAGACTATTTTTATAAAATTTCGGAGTAAACAATATTTTTCGTTTTAATATTTGTTGGTATGTGGATGAATTGATTACGTGAGTTCCCAGTTCTTGAAAATCGCTGTGAATCTGTGACGGATGCTGGAAGCATCACTCATTGACCTTTGTCAGCTGTAATAGCGTCTGATTCAATAGCATCCTGTAAATGGTTCTAATTTTCAGCACGTAGTTTTGTTTGCTTAAACCGAATAAACCGAAGCATTTCTGTGATCATTTTTGCATATATACCCACAGCATATTGATTAAAAAGATTTTTGAGGAGATGAAAAGTAAGGTCTTGTGTATCTCTAATCATAAATCTATAGGCGTAAAATTGCATACATGAAACGAATTTGGGCTTTTTAACATTCTTGAGCGGAATGTTAATCATGTAACCATCTTCATCGGAAATGTGCAAAAGAAGGTGTTGTAATGAGTCGTATGAGCTATGAAGTTCAACACGTTCTTAATCGTTATTTTCCTGAATGCAAAACGATATCTCTGGGGCGCTTGTTTTCATCAATGATTAGCACAGCTACTTTGTTAACTATGGGAGAATTGTAGTGACCACTATGTTCCCTAATAGGCAATCGTTCAGTGTGTATAATTAAATTAAAATTTTTTAATTCATGTTATATTTAAAACTTCTAGTAAGAATATTTAGCTGCAGTTCTTTTCGAATTAATTTAAAATTGATTAAGACTGCAGCGTCTTGATATTTAATCGTCATTAATTAGCGAGTGGAAGGATAGAGGCCATTTGTCTTTATAGAGTAGTATTCGAAGGGGTCTCTGTATTTGCAAATAGACAAAAATCTTATTAATTTAATGAAGATACATACATGTAAAACAAAGTTATTGGAGCCCTATTGAAAATGTTTATCTTTAAGAAAAATACAGTACTCATTCCACTTTATTATACATTTTCTCTTGCGCGACATAAAAAATTACGGACAAAAATTAATAACAATAAGAGTTGCCTTACCTTTACGACAATGCCCCGATTTTATAATACATCGATATGTAATTTACGTGTCAGTAGGTACTATAATATAAAATGGTTAATGGTCTGACGCCATTACTGGTGCATTTTACTAGTAATTTTTCGGCAATCCGGTGATACCCATTAGCAAAATACATCGGACGCTCTGCAATAGTTACTATTAGTTATAAACAGGATGGATCATAATAACGTTTATTTGCAAATGAATTACGTCATCTGATAATGTTATAATTTCGTACTGTACAAGACTAATAAACTTCTCTTTAAAATAGAAAATCAATTCCTAAGTATCGGGTATCTGTCGCACGTAGCAGTTTGCATGTATTCCAGACATATTTCAATCCAGTGCTAACTAAAACGATGGCTATTCGTTTACTTTCCTTGGCAAATAAAATAGCATCACATTTTATTAAATCGATATAACGTGGGTGCAGAATTTGTTGTTTTGCATGACAATGAAGAAAGGTAATTATTTATTCACGAAGAACTCGATTTTATCCTGAAATGTGCTCGCCATATTATAGGCAGGAAAGTACGATGTATACGTTAATAAAAATGATAGTCGACACGAAATCATATTTTTCATCTTGAATTTAATCTATAAAGTAAAATACAATATAAAAATTGTTGTCAGTTTCCATTTATACCAGGTCTCACTAGTAGGTGGTAGTAGACTACATGGAATAAAACCCGTCATTTTAGAATTTCTTAAAAAAAATTGTGCTGAAGTGTGCCCAAGATGTGCTATCATGTGCCACATTAAAAAAAATTTAAGTGGTAATTTTTTATAAAGCACCTATTACATTAAAGTCAGTACGTCACGTTGAAGCTAATAGTTCAGCAGTTAGAAAC